ATTTTAGCAAACAGTTGCCGAACACACCCTGACACAATGAGAATGGTGCAAAAAAAAAAAACTAATCCCTGCCGCAAAATGTTCCCCGGGGTCACATGCGCCCCCCCCTGGCATTGCTCCGGGCGCCCCACCATTTGAGAAGGACTGATTTATACTAACAAAATCCTCCTGTTGTAGCCAAGTTTCTGTCAGACACAATAAATCAATATGATGATCAGTTATCAGTTCATTAACTAACAGGGATTTAGAGGAAACAGATCTGATGTTCAATAATCCACATTTAATGATTTTATGATTTTGCTCTGGTAAAGTAACTGTGTTTATTTTAATCAGATTTTTATGGTTTATATTTTTAGAGCTGATTTTTGGTTTATTTAATTTGAGCCGTGGGCGAGTTGACACTGTTTCAATGGGGGTGTGGGTGGGTAACAGAGGAGAAGCAGCAGAGAGGTGGAGGACTACAACTCTGCTTCCTGGACTGGACCCTGGGTTGTCAATAATTTGGGGGATAAACAAAATCAGCCATATTTCTAGAAAGAAGAGTGTCTCCGTCCAAAGTGGGAAGGATGCCATCTCTCTGCATCAGACCAGGTTTTCCCCAGAAAGAACTCCAATTATCTATGTAGCCCACGTCGTTGTCAGAACACCACCTGGACACCCAGCGGTTAAACGACAACATACAGGGGAGTGGTGGTGCGGAGGTTAGAGAAGGTGGGCCTGTGATCGGAAGATCGTCGGTTCAAGCCCCGGTACAGACAACATCAAAAATGTGGGTGGGGTAGGTGAAGCACCCACACCTGCCCCCACCCTCATTGGCTCCACTCTGGGCCCATGAGCAAGGCCCTTCACTCCCATCTGCTCCCCAAACAGGTCTCTCTTGAAAATGAGTTCTCGTGGCTCAATGAGACTACCTGGATAAATAAAGAGTAAATGAAAAAAAATTATATATATTTGACTAAACATGTCATCGCTGGTCAGGTTGGGGAGGGGGCCGGAGAAAACTATGGAGTCCGACATGGTTTTAGCAAAGTCACACACCGAAGCCACATTAATTTTAGTGACCTCCGATTGGCGTAACCGGGTGTCATTACCGCTGACGTGAGTAATAACTTTACTGTACTTAGCCTTAGCCTTAGTCAACAGTTTCAGGTGGGATTCAGTGTCGCCCGCTCTGACCTCTGGAGTGCATTTGACTGTTGTTTGAGTCACAGGTGCCACATTTCAGACTATTGAGCTGCCAATAACCAGGGTCTGCTCCTTGGTGGGTGTCTCACTAAGCATGGAAAACTCATTTGAAACATCTAAAAAAGTTAAATCTGGTCCTCTGGACATTAAAAAAAAAAAAAAAAAAAGCAGACTGAATGTCCAGAGGACCAGATTTAACTTCTTTAGATTTTTCTACCTGGATTATTGATCATGCATCAGGATCATTTGAAACTTTAACAGGTCGATGGTGAACCGGGGGCTTAGTTTTAGAATTATTTTGCCTTTGGACCATCACCTAGCAGGCCTGTGGTTCAGGACAGCTAAGGGGAGGAAACTGATTTGGAACATG